GACCTATTTCTTGGAATTCGACCAAACAGGAGTTGATTGCTCTCTCCTCTGCTGAAGCTGAGTTCATCGCTGTCTGCACAGCAACACGTGAAGGCCATTACTTACAGGAACTATTGGAAGAAGCGAAGTTAACGACGACTACCCAGTTTACCCTGCACTGCGACAACCAAAGTGCAATTCGCATCGCACACCAGCCTGGTTTCGTCAACAGAACGAAACATATTTCTCTGCGTTACTTTTTCGTCAAGGATGAAGTCGAGAAGGGGAGGATGCGATTGGTTTATTGTCCGACCAACGAAATGGCTGCCGATTTCCTCACGAAAGAAGCTGACACGACACAAGTTTCAATACTGTAACAAACTTTGCGGGATCTTCAAGACGTGACTCTATCGGACTTCCAGAAATGAAGGAGAGTGTTGTGATATATTTCATACTTAGCATTTCTGTAAGTCGTTTATCGATAGATAGTGTCGAATCCTACCGTAGAAGATAAATAGGTAGGATGACGTCAGCAAATAGCACTCGTCATAGGACAGTCGTTTCAGTCACGCGAATAGTCGCACCTCTTCATTATCATCTAGGGCGCATAGCGCGATAGTGATGAACAGGTACATTAGCGAACAGGTAATTTCCTAGAGCTATAAGTCTTTGTTCTGTCCTTTTATTATTAACCTTGATATTTCAACTTTGAGAACTTTGAAACTTAACTTCTGTAGAAATATATACTCAGGTTCATTCTTACAAGACTTCCGCTGTCTTACTAGTCTACCGTTCCAGTAAAGATCCTAGGCTAACACTTGAGGTTTTCCAAGTGTTCGTGTTGCAGGTTCTATATTTAGTCTCCTGCAACACCTGTCGAAATATTACACGATGCAACTGAGCATTCGAGTTCCAAGCCACGATGTGAGGCTGTTCCTCATCTGGCCCGCCATGGAGACTTCGTCCAGCCGACCTTACAGACCATTCCAACAATGGCACGTGCATCAGCAATAAGCCATGGGAGATGCAAAGGTCTGGATACATTTTTAATTATGACATTGAAATGCACTTGGTGGAGATCATGTCATGTCGTACCATACCATACTCTAAACTGGTCGCATCGTTGTTTTTGTCCAACATAACAGCTTGCCTGTTGCATGAACCTAAGCTGTGGGAAGGAACGATAATGAAATTTGCACCAGCGAGTTATTTGCGATAGTGCATGCATGTATATACACGTGAAAGCAAATCCTTGGGAGTCTTCTTATGTCGGGGTTGTATATAAATACCGATGGTAACTGAAAGTTTCCCAGTTTATTTAAAAAAATATTTGGGGTGCATGGAAGCACATGTATGCATGCACATTGCACACACCATGCTTGAAGGAGAAGTGAGGTGATGATGTAGTATATATGATTGTGGAACAGCCTCGCCGTCTAAACTGTAATGCGGATTGCATACAATCATATAGCGAAGGTGGCTGTTACGAGTAGAATTTCAGGCGCCGTTCAATCGACAGGTCTGCCCCGAAGGCAACGCAGCCATTCACAGATCGCCAGCAAAAATAAAGGGATCGTCCATGTCGCATCCCCTCGCCAAATGGTAACTTCGAATGGAAGGAGTTGATTCGCACGGCTTCCCGAACGTAAATGTGGGTATGCAAACTCTTGGTTCTCCCAGTTCCGGGGGACAGGTTACAGGAGCAAACCCCTTTTGACGGATATGAACGGTCGATTTCCTGTTTGGGCTATTCAGAAGTACAGGTGCACCTCGTCTTCTGCCGCCGATTCTTCAAGTTTCGAACCTGGAAAGGCAGCACAACATGCAGCCCTCGATTAGCCAGGAAGAACAATCTTGAGCGTTCATTTCCTGAAACTCCCTCAAACCATTTCTTCGCGACTTTTCCTGCTAGATGGTAACCTGATAGTGCCACTAAAGGCTGACATTCAATCTTCGTCAGCCGTTTCGCGGGTTTTATTTTGTTTGTCGCCCAACAACCCCTCGAGATCTCCTCCTTCCCCACCACCCCCACCTTCTCCACCTCCTCCGTGCGTGTATCTACACCACTTCCCCCTGCCTGTCAGCTTCCACTGCGCATCTGTCCACCCGTTGCTGGTCTCCCCCCATCTGTCCGCTTTTGCTGTCCCCCTTGCTCCATGCACAGCACGAATGCCGGATGCCAGCTCAGCACATTAGCATTCCTGGACTGCACCTGTTATTCCAAGCTGCCCGAACGTAGAAGCCGCTTGCTTCAGCCTTTTGCCGGTTAGGGTTAGTGAGTTACCGTGTTTATTCACCAGCCGTCCCGGTTTCGGTGTCTTTAATCACTTCCAGTGCTACGCAATTTGGAAGGTAGGATCGCGTTTCCGAGTGATCAGACCCTCTAGATCCTCCCTCTTTTTCCCCTAACGGGATTTGTACTTTTCAGCATTTTGATTGGACCGATTCACCATCGAAGTTTTTCCGTCAGCAACTAGCTTGCGACCTGCCTGCCTTTCTGTGTGCCTGCGCGCATCCTAGAACGGACAATTATTGAGTCGACCCAAAGATCACCTCTGTGCGTGCGTGCCTCCGAGAACGGACGATTAGTCAAGCCTGCTTCCGCTCGCCTTTTCGTCATCGCAATCCGTCCCCTCATCGCGGTGTTTACCACGTCGCACTCCAGGAATCAACACAGCTGTTGCGCTTAGCTAAACGTCAGTCGCCGCACTTATCGCCAGCATACCCGTCAGAACTCTCTCGCTGACGCACGTTTCGTCTAAGGCTCGTTCCACAACGCCCTTAATTACCTCAATAACAGCCTTCGTTTGCTCTCAGAACGCTCCTCCTCGACGTTCTTAGCCATGCGAAACCCTAATCGCTTGCGGCCTATCTGACCGTCAAGCTGGCGTCTCCGCGCTTCCCGGATCATGAGTCCGGGCTTGCCGCTTGCTGATCCGCACGGCAGCGGCGGCGGCGGCCTTGGAGGCGGCGGACCAGGTACCGCAACTCCCGGCGCGATTCCCAGCGCAATTTCCGGCGCCGGAAACGGCGGTTTTGGCTCGGAAGCGGGCGCTCTGGAGCAGCACGACGGGAATCAAGCAGCGGCTGCGGCGGCTGCGGCTGCGGCTGCTGCTGCTGCTGCTGCGGCGGCGGCGGCTGCTGGTGGATGGATGTTGCTCCCGCCAGCCGGCTCTCTCCATAATCACGCCGCGCTATTATCACCAGCTGCAGCGTCCGTGCAGCACAACCACCTGCTCGCTTCGTTAAAATCAATCGCGGGTATTCCAGGATTTTCGCCAGTCAGCGCATCTCAGCCGTCCATCTCCCTATCGCACGGCCACGTGCCGTTCGCGTCTCCTTACCCAGGCAATTCTGCGGCTCTGATCCCGTTTCTCCCCCCTGGTGCCCATCATCCAATCAGCAGCCTCCACATCAGCGGCGCCGCACCAGGGTTGAATCCTAGCACATTAGGTAACCCGCTATTCGCATCTTTAGGAGGCTCTGGCGCCGCGTCCCCGTCCGGCTCGGCTTTAATCCCCATGCAAGCCCCTGTCATGCCCACGCACCCCGGCTTCCCAACCAACGGTTTCGTCTCGTCTCATTTCGACCCTGCAGCCGCCGCTGCCGCCGCCGCAGCCGCCGCCGCCGCCGCTGCTGCAGCCGCGACATACCCGCAGCCGGTTTCCGCATCTCTCCCCGTCGCGGGGGGCGTTTCCGCCGCCGCCGCAAACGGCGCGGGCGGTTTGATCCCCGCTGCTGCCATCCCCGCTTCCGCCGCCTCCGCTTCCGCCGTCGCCGCCGCCGCAGCAGCAGCAGCGGGGCGGCTCAGTGCCGTCAAGGACCCGCTCGGCTATGCTGCTATGCTCAGGTCGCGTGGGAAAGTAAACGAGGCGCTCGCTATATACGAGGCGATTATAGCGGAGAGATTAGGAGCAGCTGTGACTATGACGAGGGGAAATGGAACGGGTAGTGGCGTGGGGGCGATAGGAGGGGTAGCGGGCGCGGGGGGAGGGGGAGGGGGAGCGGGAGGGGCGGGCGCCGGGGGGGCCGCGGCAGCAGCAACGGCGGAAGCGCTGGTGGGGAAGGGGCAGTGTCTGCAGGCGCAGGGGAAGCTGAGCGCGGCTTTTGAGGCGTACGTGTCCGCGCTACAGCTGAACCCGACGCATGCTGTAGCGCTGACGCAGTGCGGAGTGCTGTATAAAGAGGAGGGGCACTTGCTAGAGGCGATCGAGGTGAGAGGGGAGAAGGGGGAGGAGATTGGGGGGGGGAGGGGGAAGGGTAGGAGAGTGGAGGAGGGGGAAGTAAGGGGGAAAGGGAGCGATGGGGGAGAGGGCGGGTGTGTGTGAGTGAGAGAGATTCTGAGTCAGTGGCTGAATAAGTGTGCAGAGCTGGGATCGGGATTGGGGCTCTGGAGAGCCAGGGAGGCATGGGAAGGGAGCCTAGTGTGGGAAGGGGTGTGTGTGGGGTGGGGAGGGGGGGACGGGGGGGGGTGTCTGTGGGTGTGTGTGTGTGTGTGTGTGTGTGTGTGTGTGTGTGTGTGTGTGTGTGTGTGTGTGTGGGCAAGTCGATAAAATTTGGCCTGGTTGCATGGGTTATGGGTTGGTTGCATGGGTTATGGGTTGGTTGCATGGGTTATGGGTTGGTTGCATGGGTTATGGGTTGGTTGCATGGGTTATGGGTTGGTTGCATGGGTTATGGTTGGTTGCATAGGTTATGGGTTGGTTGCATGGGTTATGGGTTGGTTGCATGGGTTATGGGTTGGTTGCATGGGTTATGGGTTGGTTGCATGGGTTATGGGTTGGTTGCATGGGTTATGGGTTGGTTGCATGGGTTATGGGCTAAGTTGGATCTAACGTTTACGGTGTTTTACGATTTCGAACGATTACGTAGTTTATTTACGTTTACGAACGGTGACGCCGTTTTGGACTGACGTTTACGGTCAGGCTGAAATTTTTCTGGAGCTGCCCGAAAAAAAAAAAAACAGAAGGGAGTCATAAGGTGACGTACATGAACATGTACATATTGGTTCACTCACACAAGCTCTCACATATAGGGGTACTACTACTATTCCTCCAACTGTCTTTTACTTCTCTTCCTAGTCATCCTCGTTGTCCTCCTCCTCCTCCTCCTCCTCCTCCCCCTCCTCCCCTCCTCCTCTTCCTCCTCTTCCTCCTCCTCTTCCTCCTCTTCCTCCTCCTCCTCCTCCTCCTCCTCCTCCTCCTCCTCCTCCTGCTCCTCTTCCCCCTCTACATCCTCCTCCTCCTCCTCTTCCTCCTCCTCCTCCTCCTCCTCCTCCTCCTCCTCCTCCTCCTCCTCCTCCTCCTCCTCCTCCTCCTCCTCCTCCTCCTCCTCCTCCTCCTCCTCCTCCTCCTCCTCCTCCTCCTCCTCCTCCTCCTCAAAGTATGCATCCTCTGGAATGTCGTCGTCGTCAAGCGGCTCGTAGTCATCGTGCTGCTGCTCGTCGATGTTAATCGACGCATGCCCTTCCTTCCGAAAACGCTTCTCAAAATCCTCATGCAACTTGCACACTGTGTGGTAGTTGTGTGTCACGTACACTAGATCCTCGAGGCGCTTAGGACCTAGGCGGTTACGTCGGGTTGTGTGGATGGACTCCCACACCCCCCAATTCGTCTCGCATGCCGAAGCAGACACGCACTGCTTAAGAATCCTGCAAGCCAGCTTGGAGAGGTTGGGACATTGATGACCATTGAACTCCCACCAATGAGTGGGGTCCAATTTACCAGCCTTGATGAGCTCATGCTCGGCACGTGCCTTAGCCTCACCAATGGCGCCTTCCCCCTTCACATAGATGAGAATCTCCTTCTCTACCGTTGTAGCCATCAAAACCCTCGTCCCATCCTTGTCAACAGTGTACTCCCCCTTGTAGTAGTCTGCGATAAACTGCTTGAAGATTCCCGAGCATTCAGCATCCCCCCCCGCTCCAAATATCTTCTCATATTGGTTCGGTGGATATAAAATCCGCCCCGCCACGTGCAATGCACAATTGATGTTCTCGTTCCAGCGGCGACGCACAGCACCCGCAACCCACTGCCGTTCTTTCGCCTTCAAGCAGCTGCATGCCTGCTTGGTGGACTCCTCCAAGTCGAGCATCATCTCATAGATCCTCCCCATAACCTCCTGGTTTCCATCAACTGCACGTAGAAGCATGTAGATTGGCTTCAAAATCTGTACCACCTTCTCAACTCCAGCCCAAAACTTGTCATCCCTGATTGTCTCGCGTGCCTTGGTCATCCGCTCCTTGCCGTGCGCAAAAGCACGCCACCCTGAAGAAAGCACCATTTGATCAAGAACCTTCCGCACATCGAGTAGACGCTGTAGTGCAATATAGTTTGTCCCAAAACGAGTGCCGGCGGGTTTCAGCAACACGAGAGAATTCTGCTCCCTGAAGTGACCAGTGATCCACTGCGCATTCTTCAGAGTGGAGATGAGATCCTGCGCCTTGGTGATGATGCGTGCCGCCCACTTCCGCCCCCCGATGTCTTTCATTAGATTGTTCAGGGTGTGAGCTGCACACCGGATGTACTGCACCTTCGGGTAGGTAGCTTTGATGATGTTGGCCGCACTAATGTTAGGGCTCGCCCCGTCCATTAGCAACCCCACGACATTGCCGGCTCCCACCATAGTGATTGCTCTTTTGAGGTGCTCCGCAATGAAATCGCCTCCCTTTTTCTTCGTTCCGCAGTCCACGCCGAACAAGAAGACCGACGCTGTGGTGTTCACCGCCAAAAAATTCATTTGGGGACGGCTACAAAGATCCGTCCACCCGTCAGTCGCAATGCTCACACCGAAATAGATCCATGATTCCTTCACCGGTTTCAGGGCTGTGTCCGTGCTAGCCTTGCAATCCTGCAGTAGGCGTCCCATGATGAGCTTTCGCCCTGGTGGTGGGAAGCCAATCCCAGCAGCAGACACCTTCCGCAACATGCCCTTGAAAGCGGCGTGCTCGGCGACGTTGGGAGGGATACGACAAACGTGGAAAAAGGTAGCAACCGCCTGTTGCGCGCTTGTCAATGCTGCAGTTTCGGGACGACATTCCTGGAGCGTCAGCTGTCCCCCGGGCCGCTTGCGGGATGTAGAGCCGCCAGCACTGCTACTGGCGATTTCACTTGTTTGCTTGGTGAAAGCGTCCATAGTCCGTTGGGAGGCTATCCTCTTTGCCTCCTGCCCACTCGCTTTCTCCGATACTACCTTACGTAGAGTCTCTTTCGCTTCCGGAGGGGCATTCTTGCATGCGGCAATGTTAGGGTCGTTCCCAAGAATATGCCCCTGCGCTCGACTAACGGTAAGGGACCATTGTTTATTGCAGAATCTACAGGACTTCTTAATAGTTGCATTCGATGCGGAACCTTCAGGCACGAGAAAGTACTTCCACACAGGGTGCTCATTAGTAGTAGACGCCATGGGAAGTTAGGAGGCAGTCGGACGTGAAAGTAGCTTAGGTTGCAGATATCTGTGGCTTCAGGAAACTAATGACGAGGTATTTAGATTCGTCTCAGTCCTCTGGCGTTTGAAGGCGACTTGGCGATTTTGAAAATGGATCAGAAATGCGTGGGTTGTACGCCACGCAATTCTATGCGTAAGTCTCCCTGGAGTGCACGAGAGGTTTGAAATTCCAGTGCGGAATTCGATTCGTTGGAATTCCATCAACTTACTGTTGGCGGAATTCCGCCGTGGCGAAATTCTCGACGAATGGAATGCCCACGCGAAATTTTGTGTGGTTGGAATTTCGTGTACTTCTGGTACACGCCATTCCAAGGACTTGGAATTCCAAAGACTCTGGAGTTCCACGTCGGAATGCGTGTTGGAGGAATTCGGCAGAGGCTTGTCCGGAGGAATGAAACCTCCGCGCGGAATTCCAATGTGGTTGGAATCTCGTGTTCTTATTGGTCCGCGAAATTCCACCGACACGGATTCCAGAATGTAACCAAGAATCGCGGAATTCCACACATTCCACGCAACTACCCCCCTTAGCAACCCATCTCACGCCCTCCCTTGCACAACACGTTCCCCCTCCCCCAATCCCTCTCTCTCGGTTCGCATCTTACCGTTCCTTCCTAACTTTCACCGCGAGCACTACGACTGCTCTCTAAACCTACAAGCTACTAAGTCGCAGCTCACTAACACCCCCTAGCACGACGTATAAATCTGCTAGCTCCCCATCTCGTTGATCTGCCCTAATTCTGAGTTGCATGCTGACTGACCCAAAGATTTCTCTAGAGAACTTTCATCATGAACCAGAAATTTTCTCAGAGATTTTTTTTTACCTGCCCGGCGCGGACTAACGCGTTAGTCACCGTTCGTTAGCGAAATCGTAAATGATCGCGTTATATTACGATTACGAAACTCCAGAAATCGTTAGTGCCCAACTAAGGTTATGGGTTGGTTGCATGGGTTATGGTTGGTTGCATGGGTTATGGTTGGTTGCATAGGTTATGGGTTGGTTGCATGGGTTATGGTTGGTTGCATGGGTTAGGGATAGGAGTAGCAAGCAGAGGAGTGAGGGAATGTGGATGGGGAGTGAGGGAATGTGGATGGGGAGTGATGGAATGTGGATGAATTTTATGCATCTCTCGTCCTCCAATTCCCTCCCCCTCCCCCCCGCCCGTTCCCAACCACACCCCCCCTCTCTCCTCCCCAAGGCGTACAGGAAGGCACTGGTGGCGGACCCAGGTGCAGGAGGCACAGCCAGGAGCAGCTGGCCGCGGTGCTGACTGACTTGGGCACGCGGCTGAAGCTACAAGGCTGCTGTCTGTGTGCCTTAACCCCTCTTCCCCACACGCCCCCGCACCAATTTCCCAGGCGTACAGGAAGGCACTAGAGGCGGACCCAGGGTGCAAAGAAGCCCAAGAGCAGCTGGCCGTGGTGCTGACTGACTTGGGCACGCGGCTGAAGCTGGGGGGGTCGGTGCAGGAGGGGATTGCCAAGTACTACGAGGCCATTGCCGCAGACCAGAGATACGCGGTGAGACACGATTTAGTGCGGTGGTATGCGGTAGTGTGTGATTCTGTGTTGCACAGCAAGCCGTGTAATGCTGACTTGGGCACGCGGCTGAAGCTGGGGGGGTCGGAGCCGGAGGGGATTGCCAAGTACTACGAGGCTATAGCTGCTGACCAGAAATATGCGGTGAGATGCGGTTTTATGAGGTAATCTGCGGTGGTGGTATGTGGCTCTGTGCTGTGTAGGGGGGGCGGTCAGAGCAGGAGGGGATTGTCAAGTACTATGAAGCCATTGCTGCTGGCGACAGAGATACGCGGTGAGGCACAGATGAAGATGGGGTGATGTTTGGTTCAGTGCGGTGAAGTGCAGTCGCTTCCCTCCAGGTGGCCTACTCCAATCTGGGGGTCGTCTACTCATAAATCAGTTTGTACGCAGTACGAGGCACGTGGTGGCACCGCTGCGAGGCACTGTTGCGAGGCACTGCTGCAGTTTTACGGCGACGCGGAGGCATGCACGCGCAGCCCCACTCTCCCCCCTCACTTCCCACCCTCAGCGCACCTACTACAACATGGGAGTGGACCGTTCGGAGATAGGGCACCACTACAAGATGACTTTAGAGTCGACTCAAAAGCCCCACTCTCCCCCCTCACTTCCCACCCTCCAACCCGCCTACTACAACATGGGAGTGGACCGTTCGGAGATGGGGCAGCGCGGCAGCTTTACGACAAGGCGGCGGCTCTGAGGCCGCTGTATGCCGAGGCGCGCCCCTCTCCTTAACCGCTTTCCCCAACCCTTTTCCCCAACTCCTTCCGTCTGCCCCTCCCCGCCTCCAGCCCGCCTACTACAACCTGGGAGTGGTCTACTCGGAGATGGGGCAGTATGAAGCAGCCCTGCAGTTCTATGACAAGGCCGTGGCCTTGAGGCCGCTGTATGCAGAGGCGCATTGCAACATGGGGGTAATATACAAGAACTGCGGGGATCTGCACTCTGCCATTGCGTGCTACGAACGGTCAGTGGGTGGAGGGGTGTTCTGGGTCCTTGCCTCTGGTTACCAGTGCAGGTTGTAACCAGCATTGCAACATGGGCGTCATACACAAGCACTGCGGGGATCCACACTCCGCTATTGCCTGCTACGAACAGTGGGTGGGTGAATGCCATTGCTTGCCTCTAGTTACCATGTGCTACGAACGGTGGTGACCCCCTCTCGCCCCTCCCCCTTGCGTTACCCCACCAGCCGTGTGTCCGTGGCCTGCTGCCAGCCTCACCACCGCAATGAAGTTCACTCCAAGCACTGCTGCCCTTCTCCCTTTCCCCTGCTCCTCTGCATCCCCCCCGCTCCCTTTCTCCCCCCCCTTCGCCTCCCCCGCCTCCCTCCCCGTCTGCATTCCGCCATCCCCTCAGGTGTCTAGCTGTGGCTCCCAACTTCACCATTGCGCGCAACAACATGGCCATTGCGCTCACGGACCTGGGCACCAAGGTAAGCGCGCAAGTCTAAAGAGGCATGGGTGACGGTGGGTAAGGTGAAGCTGCCCAGTTGGGAGGCTGGTAAATGCTGCCTGCCAGGTAAGCCACACGCAGAG